TATGATAAATTGCATATACATTAAATCATAAAATCTTGGAAATCTTCTAGTCAGACCTTCTCCCCAGAGCATATATCTTTTGTCCAGTATTCCCTACCTCATGAAAGGGTAGAAGGACATCTAACAATGTTTCTACTATGCAGATATGGAACATTATTCTTTAGAAATTATGGGATGTAGAACTATTTTCTTAAACCTTCCGAACCTCAGTTTCCTAATAGGTGAAATTGTAATAAAAGTACCTATCTCTAGCATTATTATGAGGATTAAGGAAGACAAAATTGTTAGTGTCTAACATAGAAATGTATTCATTATTTAAGAAACCTATGTGAGGTTGATGTATAATAGAGATCCATTAAGTGAGAGTTATCTTAATGCCTGTAAGCCATTGATACAGATGTTTAAGGTGCCGGAGTGACTGCAAGAGGGTCCTCTTGGCATGCCAGTAAAGCTCTCCCCCACGTTACATCATTCTGTCCATCTCTTCGAACTACACCTTTTGTAGTTGTCCCACAGTTCTCAGCTATTCTGTTTTCAGTCTAATTTCTCACTGCTTTCCAGTTTTAAAATTCTCTATTGAGATCTCCTCAAGCTCAGAGATTCTTTCCTGAGCTATGTCCAGTCTACCAGTAAGCCCATTAAAGGCACTCTTCCTTTCTGTTACAGTGCTTTTTATCTCCAGTATTTCAATTCTTTCTTAGAATTTCTATCTCTTTGCTTACATTGCCCATTTGCTCTTGCATGTTGCCTATTTCATCCATTAGAGCCTTTAGTATATGAATCATAGTTGTTTTAAATTCCTAGTCTGATCATTCCAACCTCTCTGCCATATCGGAGTCTGGTTCTGATGCTTGCTCTGTCTCTCCAAACTGTTTTTTGCCTTTTAGTATGCCTTGTAATCTTTTCTTGATAGGTGGACTTGATGTACTGGGTAAAAGGAACCTCTGAAAATAGGCCTTTAGTGGAGTGGTGGTGAGGTGTTCTAAGCCTCAGTCTTTTAGTGAGCCTATGCCTCTGGACTATGAACTCGACACGTGCTTCCCAGCCCCCTCCCTTAGATGGAACAAGAAGGCTAGAATAGGCTGGATTTGGGTCTTTCTCTTCCCCCAGGTTGGTCAGGCTCTGATGAAACCCCAACAGGCTAAGTTCTGGTTAAAGAACTTCTGAGAGCAGACCCTTGTTAAGAAGAACAGAATGCGCTGGTATATTTCAAGTGGCTTTTGTTCTCTCCCTGCCAGAAGAAGGAGATTTTTCTCCAATATTCACTGTCTGAACTCCTAAAGCTCCTGAAGGTAAAACTCACAAAAGTGTTTGTAGGGTGGAGCTCCCCTATAACTGAGTCCCCCTGGATTTTTTTTTATCTTTCAGACTTGACTGAGACTTCAGTTGGACTTTAGGCAAAGGCTGAGTCATCCAGCGCAGATTCATGAACAAGGTCCAGCAGCAAATGAACACCTTGGAGCGAGTCACAGAACTGCTTCCTATTGATTTGATTAAAATATTTGATGAAAACGAGCTGGAGTTGTTGATGTGCAACCTTGGCAGTGTGGACGTGAATGATTGGGGACAACATTGTATTTACAGGAAAGGCTAACGCCCAAACCCTCCTGTCATTCCGTGGTTCTGAAAGGCTGTGCTGCTGATGCTTGCCGAGAAGTGTCTCCGGTTACTACAGTTTGTCACAGGGACATCCCAAGTACCTATGAATTTGCCTCACTCTTTTGTCCCAGTGGTTTTCAGCGGTTCACAATAGAGCAATAGTGGAGTTCTGAAAAACTGCCCAGAGTTCACACATGCTTTAACTGCCTTGACTTAACTCCATATGAAACCTTGGAAGATTTATGAGAAGAATTTCTCACGGCTGTGGAAAATGCACAAAGATTTGACGGGGTCAACTGCGTACTCCCTGCCTCGGGGTGGTTGTTTATATAGAGTAAGTCCTGCTTGTACTTTTGAGCTTGCCAAACAGACTTGGCAGAGACAATGGCAGAACAGTTGCACAGTGTGGCTCCTAGAGCAGAATCTTCCCCCATGCACTTACCCAAGTTCAGATGTGGGAAGCCAGTCACAGGTCATATTCCTGCATTTTCTACTACAAATTATCAACTGGATGATGTGTACACTAATTAATTTCAGGAGGACTTTGTCTATTTTGGTTGTACTTTTGTTGGCAAAGCCCTTAATAAATATTTCATGGTAGTTAAAAAAAAAAAACAAAAAACAACCTCTCAGTGACTCCATGACTCTCAGACACTAAGACTCTATCAGTTGGTCAATTATAGTTCAGTATTCCCTACCCCGGCACTGGATCCTGTAGAGGTTTTAGTTCATGGGATTTTATTCTATTAAATTGTGATGCTCTGCATTTGCTTGTCTGTCTTTTCAATTTGGGGGGCAGCATTTTGCTGTGTGACCTCACTTCTCTTATTGTTGATTTTTCAGTTTGCTCAGCATTTTACTTGTTAGGATGGAATGGTAACTGCCAAGCTCATTACCAGACCCACCTACTTCTTTTTTCATTTAATAATACATCATATGTTTATTCCATCCATGTCAGTATATATCCAATAATCTCAGCATTTGTTTTGATGAATATTTAGATCCTCTCCCGTCTCTTTTTTTGGCTACTCAAAATGTTTTAAGTACAAACAAATACAAATTCTGCTCATTTTAAAACATAATCATAATTTCTATCAGTCATTTTGTTCCTCTTATTGGCAATAGACATCACAGGAGGGATTACATTTTATCTAGAGAAAATAATTCCACTCACACCATACCACTCATTAGGTCCTCTCTTCGGTCTCAACGAACATTTCCAATCATAGCTAATTTGCTTTCACAACTACTTGCTAGACAAGTGCAGTCAATAGATCCTCCATCTGCTAGAAAGATAGAGGATTGAGATGGTTGTCAAGGAGTAACTCAGACATTTCGTTAGATGTTTGTATGCTAGTTTTTTCATACTTGAGGGAAACTGTCATTACACTATTGTCAACAAACAAAAGCAAAGCCAGGACTTATAAAAAAGAGACAGGAAAGGAGGAAAACACACAGTTTGGGGAGAGTAAGGGTTTATTTTTGATTAAGCTAATTAGCTGGAGGGGATCAAAGAGGCCAGTATGGAAAGCCTGGTGTTGAGCAGGCCAGCTCACAGACAAAACAATTTCAGATATTTATGACTTTTCTGAAAAGCCCTTAGAGTTTGGCCATGGGGCATGTGTGACCAGTTGTCTAATATCTGCCCGTGTACAATTAGCATCACCACTTTAGGTAAGCCAGGTTTGTACTATTTGTTTCTCTCATCAGAATTTCTCATTTCCCCCCTTTGGTCAAAGTAACTCCTCAAGGAACAGATTCAACCATGAGGATTTCATTCTTTTTTTTTGAGACAATATCAGTTGGATGTCAACTGGGGAAAATATATAAATATAACATTTAATCATTCTGATATTCAACAGTGTAAGCAGGCAACAAGTATGAGGATAATCGCAAATCCATAAGAAATATTTGGCACCATGTTTTTATCCAGGTTTTATTTATGCATTTATACACTTATGTGGTAAGTATGGTGATGCCATCTGATTACATAAGAATAATTTAGTGTGTGCATATTGAGGAACTAGAAAATGTTGTTTGTGGTAAACAGTAGCAAATATCCATCCAAATATATTTGGACACCCTAAGACCTAAATCATTTTAACACTGTTAAAGACACATAGAAAAGTGTGGACGTTCATCTTATGGTTATCTTATCATAAGAAGAGAACTGAATGACTGTCCTAATAAAAGTTATACATCTTTCAGATGTTAATAATTCACAACATATCCGCTGGTATTAGTGGTAAATGTTACTATCATTTGTGAGTTTAAGGTAACCAAAGGTATAGTTAACTTCAGGCCAGGCATTAAAGTATACACGAAATATGTATGTATGTATGTATACATTAAAGTGTACATTACGCTCTTGTTAATTACTCCCTGTAAGTATAGTCTGTATATAACATAGAACAAAGAAGTGTTTTTTTACATTAGTGACCAAAATGGTTTCACACGAACCCCCAAATGATGACATTTGCACTTTAATGTGTTGGCAAGCATGTATGGCTGCTGTTAATTTAGGGTGACCCAATTTTAAAAGAGCATTTGCTTTACTAGGGGAGAGAGTAATGGGGAGCTGTTGACTAATGGGTATAGAGTTTCAGTTGGGCAAGATGAAAAAGTTCTGGAGATTGATTGCACAACAATGTGAATATACTTAACACTACTGAACTGTATACATTTAGAAATGGTAAAATTTATGTCATGCATTTTTTACCACAATACCAAAAAATTACCTTAAAATATTATTACATAATACCTAATAATTACGGAAAAATCAGAAAATACAGACAAACAAAAAGGAAATCCACCCACAATCCTAACAGCTAAGGCTAACACTTTGTTGCATAAATTATATATATGTATATATAGGTTCACACTAGATACGCTATTTTATAACCTGACTTTTTGAAATAAAATTTATACTACTTTTAAGTATATTTTAAGTTCTGCGGTCTTTTTTTAAGATTTGTTTATTTATTTTAGAGAGAGAGCACGAGCGGGAAGGGCAGAGGGAAAGAAAGAGAAAATCTCAAGCAGACTCCATGCTGAGCATGGAACCTGATGAAGGGCTCAATCCCACGACCCTGAGATCACGACCTGAGCCAAAACCAAAAGTCAGGTGCCTAATCTGACCTCACAAAACTGCACCACCCTGGCGCCCCTTAAATTTTATGGTCTTAATTTAAAATCCAAAGGATTCCTATAAATTCTAAGGCCTTAAAATGGAAGTGAAACTGCATGTTTAAGGGTACTTGCCCCTCCATTGATGCTTCTCTTTTTAGGTCATATGCCTTCAGGAGAAGGAAAGGCTCCTCAACTCCTGAGCTGTCCGCCAGCTCTGCTAACATTTTTCAGTGGTTCCTTTTAGATATGACCATACCTACAGAGGCTTCTGGTACTTAGGAAATGGTGAGTCTACCTGCCCCTGGGGCTCCTCAATCCTCAGTCACTGTCTATCCACTGGGATAATGTAAATAAACATCTGAGAAAGGTTAATGAGTAAACTGTTAGGATGAAAGGTCAGGAGACTTGCTTTTATTAGGAACATCAGAACATCAGAATGGGAGATAACGCCTTGCTACTTGCAGTCCACCTTCTCTGAGGAAAAGAGTAAATAAATGAGAGTCACAGAAGAGTCTTCATTCCACAAGTGCTCCAGGAATCATGTTGGAGAAGTTCTGCAACTCTACGTTTTGGGTGAGAAGTAATACTTATTTTCACTGTTGACTCTTCTCAGACAGAACTAACAGATTAGCCTCGGTGGTTACCAATAAGAACCAGAAAAGTTAGATGTGCAGGTGGTCTAAAGCTCAGAGTTTTTTGGTTTGGGGGGTTTTTAAAGTTTTTTTGGGGGGGGGCGCTTAAGAAAAGATAAGTCATAGAATCTCCAGGGGATATTCTATGTGGAAGAGGTAACGTATGTATTCTCTAATGTATATTTATTGTATCCAGATTCTTTTCTCAGACTAGCTAGCTGTAAAATTGTCTTCTCTAAAGAGAAATAGGGAAAAGGCTTCCAATTTCAACAATGTTAGGAGGGAAAGTTGTTGTTGTGTAGTTTGTGGGGTGGGAGGAAGAAGAGAAGACCCAAGGTTGAATCTTGCTGATGTTGAAATGATAGTGATATCTTCTTAGAGGGACTGGCAATGAGTGGTATGGAGTGGAAACTGAGGTAAGGGATGGGCACCATGAGCACTGAGACAATTTCTGAACCATTAGAGCAGAGAATTTCAGGTCAGAGTGAGCAACAGTACCAAATGGCTTAGTGGAATAGAAAATGAGAAGGAACCTAGGATTTAGTGATTCTGTGAAAGTGTGGTCTGCAAATGCCTAGCACGGCATCAGAATCACATGGAAGGCTTGTTAAAATCGTCTAACTATCTTAGGTAATTTTTCTGAATTGTAAAGTTAGATAACTTTATGGAGAGATAAGAAGAGTGGGAATGAGATAGCAGAGCAGGTGGTTAACACTTCACATCTTAGAAAGAACCTGGGCCCCAAGGGCCTCAAGGCTGGGACATGTATACCATAGGAAGGTGGGTCTTAATAGGCCCCAGGATCTTACCAGGCCATCCTTTGGAAATTCTCTCTGAGAATATCTGACAGATTATCTTGGTCAGAGCACTGCAATGTTTGCTTTAAAGAGTCTGTGTGAACGACTATACAAAAACAACTAAAAAAATTTTATGAGGAGAGAAAAATCTACCCTCACAAGACTCAAGAAATAAGAACTGGTGCTCCCCACCCTCCCTTCACAAGATACTTCTATTACAGAATGTAAAGACTAGTACAGACTTGCTGGGGATGAGCCTTCCATCCACTAGTGCCTTTACAGCTCCTGGGCCCAAGGTCCTCTCAGGTTCAAATCACTGTAAGCCCTCTGGCCCAAAGGAGGCAAAATGCCATAGTATGACTAAAGCATCCTGCTGCCTGCATGTTTGAACATCTGTCAGGGAGTTTAATTAGTGCTAGAAACAAAAATAAGAACAAGTTTCTGTATCCTAGGGAACTATTTGAAGAACAGTCCATTCCTCTTCTTCCCACAACTTCGCAAATGCAGTGGTGAGGTTTACTTAGAATAGCTGGTGAACGAATGGTTTTTAAAGGTTGGATTGACCAGAAAAGTCACTGTCATTAAATGTTGACTTTATATCAATGGAGATAAATAGGAAAATGCATCTAGGTAAAGGGTCAGGCTGGATATGGATAGAGAACAGAGTTAAAATTGTTTGGGAAAGTGGAGGATATGCTCACGCTTGTTTTCTGTCTTCAAAAAATGAGTATATTCAACAATCTTTCTGTTTTGGTCCCCCAGAATTCTTCATTCTTGGATAGCCCAGAAGCAGACCTGCCACTTTGTTTTGAGCAAACTGTTCTGGTGTGGATTCCCTTGGGTTTCCTTTGGTTCCTGGCCCCTTGGCAGCTTCTTCATGTGTATAGATCCAAGATCAAAAGATCTCCTATCACCAAACTCTACCTTGCTAAGCAGGTATGGGAACTCCACTATTTTCTAATTACTTGGTACAGGATAGAGAGATTTTTTGGTGGTTAAAGTGTCTTTTCCCTATCTTTAATCAGCTTCCCTGAGACAGGTGCTCACTGGCCCCTTGTCATATTTCTTAGTTAAGGTAACTTTAATTTTTGCATAAGGATAGTGACTCTTGGGGCGCCTGGGGGGCTCAGTTGATAGTGTCTGCCTTCAGCTCAGATCATGATCTTGGGGTCCTGGGATCCAGCCCTGTCTTGGGCTCCCTGCTCAGCAGGGAGTCTGCTTCTCCCTCTCCCTCTGCCTCTACCCCTGATTCGTGCTCTCTCTCTCAAATGAATGAATAAAATCTTAAAAAGTAAAAGGATAGGGGTGGGAGGATGGGTTAGCCTGGTGATGGGTATTAAAGAGGGCACGTTCTGCATGGAGCACTGGGTGTTATGCACAAACAATGAATCATGGAACACTACATCAAAAACTAATGATGTAATGTATGGCGATTAACATAACAATAAAAAAATTTTTTAAAAAGTAAAAGGATAGTGACTCTTAAATCTTATTGATATCAGACTCTTTAAACACCGATGATGAGTAAACAATCAAATAGTTATTGTCTTTTTAATATTTGAGAAGCAAATACTGGATGACCTGTCTTGAAACTATTTTAATAAATCAGGGGACTGTAATTTGGTTGGCACCTACAAGGAGGTGAAAATAAAATGCACCATTTTCTCTGTACCATTCAGGTAATCCAGCCATCATTCATCTCCCATTAACTTAGGTCTGAAATAAGGCTTCCATTTTCCCAAAGTCTTCCATGAGTCTGGACAGTCACTCACAATAGAGTGAGGTAGGGTGAGTGCTCACAGTGACATGCCTGAGTAAGGAAATATGGAAAGGACAGGAGCTGCAGGAGAGAGCCCAAGAGGAACTAGGGGAGGAGCCTGTCAGCCAGGTGCACTGATTAATGCAGAAAGGGTCTTGTGGGAACCAAGACATTCAATTGAGTTTGAAAAGCCACCTCATAAACACCATCTGCTTTTTTCACTAGTTTTTTTTGTTGGTGGTGGTGGTTTGTTTTTCCCTATCTGTCCTGATCTTTAAACAGGGTTTAATTAAAAATGCTAATTAGATTTGATGTTCTATGAGCACACATACCAATGACCTTAGGTTATCTGCAATCTAAATGGAAGGAAGGAACTTGGCCAAATGAAATGTGATTTTCATTGACACTCCAAGGCAGGGGCTGGTGGTGAGTTTTGTTGGACTCTGGATAGGAAAGAATGAAATCCCTAAGAGTAGGTGCAGGGTCATTGTCTTCTTTGTTGATCCAAGTGCCAAGCACAGGGCTTAACACTCAGTATGAATTTGTTAAACGCTAATATTAAATGTCTCTAGAAGTAGAGGTTGAGTCAAGAATGTGTTAGATTCTGAATATTGAACAATATGCTTTAATACCCTTGGGAATGAGTTAGAGACTTCCAGGAAAAGGCTGGGTAATGAATAAATCAGTATCCTATCCTACTTATAATTATTAACTATAAGAACTTTTAACTTTTAGGGGCCCCTGGGTGGCTCAGTCATTAAGCGTCTGCCTTCGGCTCAGGTCATGATCCCAGGGTCCTGGGATCAAGCCCTACATCGGGCTCCCTGCTCAGTGGGAAACCTGCTTCTCCCTCTCCCACTCACCCTACTTGTGTTCCTGTTCTTGCTCTCTCTCTGTCAAATAAATAAAATCTTTAAAAAAAGAACTTTTAACTTTTAAAAAAACAGCTTTATTGAGATATAATTCACATATCATACAATTCACCCATTTATTTTTTAATTTAATTTAATTTAAATTCAATTAATTAACATATAGTATATTATTAGTTTCAGAATTAGAGTTCAGTGATTCATCAGTTATATATAACACCCAATGCTCATTACATTACATGCCCTCCTTAATGCCTATCACCCAGTTATCTAACCCCCCCCCCACTCCCCTCCAGCAACCCTCAGTTTGTTTCCTATAGTTAGGAGTCTCTTATGCTTTTTCTCTCTCTCTCTTCTTGTCTATTTTATTTTTCCTTCCCTTCCCCTATGATCCTCTGTTTTGTTTCTTAAATTCCACATATGAGTGAAATCATATGATAATTGGCTTTCTCTGATTGACTTATTTCACTTAGCATAATTTCCTCTAGTTCCATCTACATCATTGCAAATGGTAAGATTTCATTTTTTCATGGCTGAGTAATATTCCATTGGGTGGGTGTGTGTGTGTGTGTGTGTGTGTGTGTGTGTGTGTGTGTGTATACCACATCTTTATCCATTCATCTGTTGATGGACATCTGGACTCTTTCCATAGTTTGGCTATTGTGGACATTGCTGCTATAAACATTGGGGTGTAGGTGCCCCTTCAGATCACTACATTTGTATTTTTTGGGTAAATACCTAGCAGTATAATAAGTGGCTCTATTTTTGACTTTTTGAGGAACCTCCATACTGTTTTCCAGAGTGACTGCACCAGCTTGTATTCCCACCAACAGTGTAAGAGGGTTCCCCTTTCTCTGCATCCCCACCAACATCTGTCATTTCCTGACTTGTTAATTTTAGCCATTCTGACTGGTGTGAGGTGGAATTTCATTGTGGTTTTGATCTATATTTCCCTGATGCTGAGTGATGTTGAGCATTTTTTCATGTGTCTGTTCGCCATTTGGATGTCTTCTTTGGAAAAATGTCTGTTCATGTCTTCTGCCCATTTCTTGACTGGATTCTTTGTTCTTTGGGAGTTGAGTTTGTTGAGTTCTTTACAGATTTCGGACACTAGCTCTTTATCTGATGAGACATTTGCAAATATCTTCTCCCATTCTTTAGGTTATCTTTTGGTTTTGTTGACTGTTTCCTTTGCTTTGCAAAAGCTTTTTATCTTGATGAAGTCCAATAGTTCATTTTTGCTTTAGTTTCCCTTGCCTTTGGAGACTCAATTCACCCATTTAAATACAATTGTTTTTTTAGCATCCATCACCATATGTACAACCATCACCATAATCAATTTTAGAACAGAAAGAAACCTCCTATCTCCCCATCCTCCTTAGTCCTAAGTAACCACTAACCTACTTGCTATCTCTATGGTTTCCCTATTTCAGACATTTCATATAAATGGAATCTTATAATAATATATGGTCTTTTATGGTTGGCTTCTTTCATTTAGCATAAGATTTTCAAGGTACATCCATATTGTAGCATGTGTCGGTACTTCATTCCCATTTTATGGCTGAATTATATTCTATTATATGGATATAACCCATTTTGTCTAACCTTTATAAATACAAATCTCTATAGAGAAAAAGAAAATCAATGTATTGTTTTTTTTTTTTTTTCCTGTAGCTAATAATCCACTCATCCTTGCTCATAGTCTCAGGAGCTCCATTCGTAATTTATACTTTACTTTTTTGTTCTCTATCCTGAGAGTAACAAGCACAAATTAGCTACCTCTTAAAAATTTCAAAATAATTGGTCTCTTCTCTAAAACAGACTGAAGTATAACTCCTCACACAATAAAACTTTACTTCTTCTATGAGAAACTTCTTGGCTCATTCCTCAACTTGATTTTATTTCTCCATTTCCTCTTCTACCTGCTTTTGGGCTGTTTCTCTCTGACTTTCCTGAACTGTCTATACTTGTCTGAACTAAGTCAGTTTGCTTGACCAAGGTGAGAGATTCTACAAGTTTGTTTGGTTAAAGGTACATTCTTACTGAAAGGACCTGATGCACAGTAGGTAATTGAATGAATTGAATTACAAAATAAATGAATGAATGAGCTTAATCCCAGGGAAATGAAAGAGGAATTTGGTTCTGGAGGTTGTGGAAGTGCTGAGGTCAGAGCAAGAAAGATGTGCAGCAAAAATAGACTTGGTGTTGAGCCAGCGAAATGTGGAAATCATCTTTAAGTGATTGCAGAATATAACATAGAGGATTACAGGGCGTGTTCTGAAAAGTTTCAGAGAGCAGGATCAAGATTAAGTGGGTGGAGGTTATTCCAGGGAAGCCCACTTTGGCTAAATATATTGAAGGACTTTCTAATAATACTGACTTTTTGAAAATAAAATAGACTGCTGGGGGTCATATTCCCTGAAAATATTGATGCTAAAGTTAGACACTTATATGCCAGGGAAGTGGTAGAAATAGACACTCTGCAATGGATAGAAGATTCAACCAGAGTGCCTATCATTGATAAAACTCTGGGAAAAGGAGGACCTTGCAGAGATGGAGAGATATTAAATATGGCCAAACCACTCTCCTTTCTCTTTTAATACCAGTGAGATTGTGTTTCCTTAAGAAGTTTAGTAAATTCCATGCATGCTTGAAGCCCCTCCAATAAATCAGAGATCAAAGACAAGGACTATTTAAGGACAACCATAATATTTCCCTGATCCTATTTAATAAAAGTGTGTGCATGTTTCTGATTATAAAAATAATGCATGGTTGAGCACCTGGGTGGCTCAGTTGGTTAAGTGTCTGCCTTTGGCTCAGATCATGATCGCAGTGTCCTGGGATCGGGCCCGCCATCAGGCTTCCTTCTCCGCGGGGAGTTTGCTTCTCCCTCTGCCTCTGCCTGCCGCTCCCCCTGCTCGTGCTCTCTCTCTCTCTCTCTCTCGCTCGCTCGCTCTCTCTGTAAAACAAATAAATAAAATCTTAAAAAAAAATAATGCATCGTTATTGTAGAAAGTTCAGAAACTCTAGAAATAGGAAGCCAATTAAATCCATTGATCATTGTTATCACTCTGTATACTCCTATTAACATTTTGGTATGTTTCCTGCCACTCTTAAAAAAAAAAACAAACTGAACAAAGAAACAGAAAATGAAAAGTAAAAGTCTCTTTCTCACCCTTCTATCTCCCAGTACCATTCTCCAGAGCCTTCATTTAAAATTATTTTGATGGTTACCTCTGTATCTGCAAATAATGTGTTCGTACTTGTATTTCTTGATCTAACACCTTTAAAAAAGATCTATTTCTGCC